TCAGCAGTGAACTGGGAAAACGGAATTTTGTGTTCCAGGCGTAGAAGAAATGCAAAAGTTTATTGAAAATTTTTTTACGGAAAACGGGAGATGTTCGGGAAGGATAATCTGACATAAATTACCTTAAAAACGCATTCGTGCATGCATTACTATACAACACCAGGTGAAACTCTGTGCATATGTGCCAGCAGATCAAGAACAGCCGCGGTAATCCTGATACGTAAAAGTGACAGTCTTAAAAACTTCTCATTATACAGGCGCGTCGTACTTTTGATGTCACTAATAAAGTAACCGACTAACACGTCGAACATAGAAGCAATACTCTGATAAGTTCAGGAAGCTCTAAGAAAAAATACAATTTTTATAATTTTCTTTAGATTCTTCATATGATTTTGGTAAAGTGTCGACGGTACAGCTTTTAAACAAGCTTGAGTTTGAAAAACAGCATTACAAGTTCTTAAATCATATCCCGATAAAAAGCAGCAGCTTTTTGTTTAAATAAAAACCCGAGCTTTAAAGCTCTTGATGAAACGAGCGCAATAGATTTGGCGTAACGGGTCACCATAGCACCGGAACTATAGCATTGACGGCAAAGATAAATAATCTGTTCATACGTAAATACACTTCGGAAAGTATCAAGAATGCGTAAATCATCTTTCTTGGCGACCGATTGGAAGTGGAGCTGTCTCCTGAGCTTTATGAAGCCGCGAAAAGTATTACAAAAACCGCTGGTAACCGAGGTATACCGCAGCCCCGTGGTACAGTGGAACGCGAACGTTGTCGTGTACCCAAAAATCAATTTGCGTATGCTATCGATAAATTTTCAAACCATATTCAACCAACAATCTACAATAATTGCAACCCCCGTAATGCATACATCCAACCAGTAGAGTAACATCCCAGCAAATGGGTTTACCAATATGCCCAATTAACTTTCCATCGAGATTAGAGGGACAATAAAAGCAGACCACTACAACTTACGAAACAACGGTTTCGTTTTTTGAATTTGCATCAGGGTCTTCTATTGCTCATCGAACGTAATACACAGTAAAGTCAAGCTGGATTGAATCACTCACGTAGCATCGTAGTACGCACAGAAGAAACGTAATCATCACGGTACATGCGGATCCCTAGAATAGAGAAAACAACGATAACATATTACGCATAGATACGTCAGATACCACCCAATGCTCCACGGAATACGGACGGCCTGCTATTGCATACGAGGAACGAAACTGCTATTTACGCGCACCAGAGAAAGAAACCAATATTACACGGCTCCTGGCATAGAGAGTATGGAGTTCCAGATAACGTAACGGAAAGAAAGTATGAGTTTCCCGTGAGAGGAGACGTGTGCATGCACCTTTATATGCGGCAAAGCTATAACAAATATATTAAATACAGCATGTATTTTATTAAACTAACAAGGACTTTCTAGAAACGAACAACTCAACTGTCAGCTAAAAAGGTTAAAAAAAACTACCGTATTAAATGAGACAATCTGTATCTATTTAACATAAAAGCATATCACGAAAAATCATCACACAAACAGATTACATTTTACTAAAGTTAGCTTGGGAGAAATTTACTTTTCACAGCTACAGGATTTAACTTTATCTATCAACTATAGGCATTAAAGCGGATTTGCTACGAAACCAAATGCGTTCATTGCAGTATATTCAAAGGCTACGGAGATCCAGGGTATTTATTTATTATTTTATTAGCCTTACAGGCACTACATAGTCAAAGATGGTTTTGTATTATATGTTCGTGTGTATATCAAATGCTGAATGAGCATCTCGAGTAAATCGAGTGATTTCTGAACAGATATATCCATGGCCGTCCCGATAAGGCTACGCCCAGTTTTTAGCAACTTATGGGCCTTTCTTTCTAAATACGCTCTAGGAACGGTACAAGCAACGCGTCAGATGACGACTCCAAAAATATTTAGCGGGCTATTTACCATTCCGCATCGGCCGGAACTCAAAAACATCTCTAGCGTTCACACCCGGCTGCCGTTAAATATTGCTTCAGACGTCCGGCTTCTTCCTAAAAAGAACCGAGACATGTGTGTGCCCGGTCTCAAACCACCTCACAAGTCCTTAATCATGCTGCTTCCGCACCACCATTACGATCGTCTTAAGTACAATAGATTGATTCCCGGGACGGATCTGTTCCGCTAACATGTGCTCTATGCTAGTAGCAATCTAATGCTTGCGAGGACATCCAGTCTGCATGGCGAATTAATTTTCTAATTTTTCTTTCAACGTTATCAATTGAAATCGTAATTACTGTTGAAGTTAAAGTAACCCCTAACAATGCACATACGATTAAAGTTTAGTCGTATATGCTAGATTTGGCTACAATTTTCGTACGATTTAAGCTTTTTAATATTACCTAATGCTTCTGCCTTGCAGTGTTAGTGTGAACATGACGTGCATCTTCGAAAGATAATTAAGGAGACGAATCTGTCGACTTGGATAAGTACTATCTAAACAGAACAAGAAGTGCCAACCGTACTCGTCGATACCATATTGCGGGACTGAAGTATGGTTTTCTTAGGCCAAATCTCTTCTACAGTGTCACCTGGTCCTTCACAAAAGCACTTGCTAGCCGTTTGTTGTATATAGTAATGTAATAAATATAAATTCTACGCGACTTAGATTCTATGCTATAGAGTGGAGACGTTCTTACAAGAGAAAAGCATATACCACAGGACTATGGCAGGCTTCATGCAGAAAGAGTTTTTTAGACATCTAGAAAACAAGGGAAAAACTAATGACAACGGATAACATTAGTGGAACATCTTGAAGCCAATTACGGTCAGGTTATGCACAACGTAGAATTCACATTGAATCTAAACACGCGGTGCAATCAGTCATCTTTCGTTAAAATAATCGTACAACGGTCGTGTTGATAATAATTAAAAGAGCTAGATTCTGTTGACCTTTATGAGTGGTAATAGTTTATATTAACGGAGTGCCGCTTGTACTTTTTAAGCTCACTTACCATTCATTCTATAGCCGTCTTCGACGATATCAGAACCTGGTTTTCCGCCTTTTATGTGGGATAACCCAGCCGTGAAAGATTACTTCAGACAATTGGCTTCCAGCACGAAATAAAGTATGACTATGCCCAATTTCGAATTCGGACCACCCCATGATCCTAAGTTATACGTTCCCTTTGCGCTGTCATTGGAACGATACCAGGACCTTGCTGGCTCATTTAGCAAAGATGTCAAACATGTTTTTACCTCAAAGAACGTCTGCCTGTGTCAGGGTACATCGTATCTAGGCCAACATAACATAACGAAGTCTTGAATTATGTAAAGCGTCTTCCTGATATGTGTAATAATATAATACTGACATGAGATAATGACATACATGATATATTCGAAATTTTACAATTGACCGAGTTGGCTCTACCGATAAGTTTCCTTCCTCTGGTGTGCGTTTACCTTATAGTTAGCTCCTAATTATTATGTGTGTCCAGTGGGTTCACTTTTTCCTAAAAATAGCCAATGATTTAGTCCTCTTTAAGAAGAAAGGTAGCAATTGCGAGCGACTGTACGGCACGTGAGTTGGCAGGACAAGTTGCTAGTTGTTAACTTCAAGTCCTTATATAAGTGTTTGAATGCAGACGTTCTTTGAATGCAGTCTTAGCAGAAACTAAATCGACATGACTTGACCTTATGATAATCGTTTGTTCTGTAGGCAAATGCTCTTTTATTATATATACGACTCACGGTGGACGCTTGTACATATCAGCGACGTAACAAGCCTCGCATTCCGCCGGAGCAACCTATTCCTGTTGAAAACGTGCTATCGCCTCTTAACTTTCCCGTAAAGGTTTTGGCATGTATCAAAATAAGTCGCAATCAGTTTCGCGGTCTGTTCTTACTGTAACCTACAGAAGCCTAGGCGATTTAGAGAACCTAGAAATTGTTCTCCATCTGCATGTACTGTTCATCAATGTATTAGCAGCATTAGTTGATTTATCGTACTGCTTAGTTCTTTTTTTTATTAGTATTTATTCTATATTATATTATATTATTATTATATTATATTGTTTATTATTATTATTATTATTATTATTATTATTATTTAATAGAAATGGACATATTCGCTTTCAGTTTTAGCGTTAGTTGTCGGTAGGCCAACACCATTATTATTTTATGTATGAACATGCGCAAGATATCTCAACATCAATTATGTATATGCATTTCGGGTCCACCTTAGAACAACAAATTGTTAGATAATGTTTTATGTCATATTAGGAACCAGACGACGCAAAAAAGTTGTTTGCATTATATTCGACAATTTTCTATAAAACGGAAAAAGTCTATCCTTAGTGGAGTCCGCTGTTCGCGTATAGTCCTGTCTCGTCTAAACTATACAATAATATCCTTCGCTAAGATTAGTCTAACTAACTGAAAAGAACGTGGTATGTCATACTAGTAGAGTGTCCAAACTACTTTTCATTAAAAGATCAAAACAGATGCAAGCATGTTGTTTATATCTAGGTAATCCAATTGTTTCAGATTAGCTAGGCGAAGTCAAAAGAAATACTTTTCTTGTGTGGATAAATCAGCGTAAAGAAAAAATAAAGTACTGTTTGTTATGTTTGTTTATCAAGAGACTGAAAAAACTTAGTCATTCGAGCGGCAAATGCATCAGTGTCTTAAATCAGATTCTCTTTCCACCTCGGGTTTCCTACCAGTATCGTTAAGACACGATTCTAACCCCTCTTAAGTATGCACTTTTTAATGAAATCATCATACCCTACTACCATACCAGGAGAACCAATTTAACGTTCTGCCATGATATGGCATATCGCTGGCAATTTTTTTTAAAAATCCCGCCCTGTTTATCTTACCCGAGTGAGGCTTTAGGAGAGGACCGTCCTTTGCCACAGAGTGCCCGTTCGCGGTACCTCAAGTAAACAAAAATGCATTGATTCACTGAGCCGTCATCGATTAACACATACGTTCTCTCGATGGCCTAAAACTAACCAGCGGGTAATCCAACCACATGAGAAAGATTTAATGCGACCAGTCCGTGCGCGATTTTTACGTGTTTGTAACGATTTTGTAAAGGATAAATAATTTTCCTTTAACTATAGTCGTACCCAAATCTATTGTAATGTGAGTATTCCGAATATATTCACATCTCAATTGGGGTACACAGAGACCGACTCACGAATCCAGGAGTGTACAACGTAGATGTACCCTCCGAGTTTGCCTCTATCATGGTTGTCACTTATTGACAACTAGTTTTTATCGAGTCTTTATCATGTGATTACTCGTCAGTATCCTCTTCTAGATAAATACTCCTTTGTAAACCGGTAGATGTACTGAGTGAATCTCTCCTATGATTCATGGGACACAGTGATGCAATTAGCACGGACAACTCTGTCTTACTCCATGAGCTTAGGTGAATCGCTCGCCCTATGATCAGCTGTGCGGCGACGTACAAACCAGCTTCAGTTGTATAATACTGATGCAGTCAGCTAGGCTTCGATAAGAAAGGTTGAAGTTATTCAAGCCCATGAACAATGTGAAAAAAGTTGAGTTGCTATAATCGAAGTTTAGGCCGCAAGTCAAGTTTGTGTGTCCTGTTATTAATTCTACGTTTGCTTGAGGTGGCCCCTTGGCCTGTATCACCGATGATGCGCCTATTAATTGGAACAGTTAACTGTGAGGATTACATTTTACTGAAGTGGAAGTTACCGTAATGGCAGTGGAAGCAGAATACAGGTGTATGAGAACCTTTGAAAATCAAATTCATTGGAAGTTACTGATGTAACCTAACCCATGTGATTCATTTGTTACAACCAACCAGGATACGAAGACGAGAAAGGTCTCGTGCCGGAACCGATCCGGACATTTTTTAGTTGCCTGAAACCATTGTGTCCATGCGACGGGACAATCGAAAGTTTCTTGAAAAACAAGGGTAATCAATGACAGAAAATGCCCATTACGCAAAACAGCGGCCAGCGGAGCTCTGTGTCAGATGAGGGTGATACGACATCACTAAACGATGAACATGAACAAAGTATGGTCATCAATGGAGATCGAATTCCGGGTGAGTTGAATGGTGGTCATCGTCACTTCTCGCTACTGTAGCTTCTGCTAGCTATTGCCCACATAAAAGAGGTAGAGGCGCATGAAACAGAACGTCAATCGAGCCGTAAACGTGCCGGAAAGGCTATAGGAAGATTTTCTGTAATTGTCATAGTTGATTTCAAATCTTCTGTATGACCCATTCAAACATGACTGCAAATTTCGTCTATCACGAGATGAACATTATAGATTACTAGAGGTCAATAAATAACTTGTACAAATATGATGATGATAGAAGATATTAATGTATAATTACCGAGTAGCTTTTGATCGACTTTACATGAGAACAGGCTATATTCTCTAAGCACTACACGATTAAGAGGTAAAACAATTTGATACCCATTGGCTTGAGTGAGCGAACATGCCCGTATACGATGCAAAAACAACCCACAAAAAAGCAGGCCAGTGAATAACTGACGAATCTTAAATATTGTTTAATTTATTTTATATTTCCGCTACGATTCGTTTATTAACTGATAATCATACTCAGTAGCATTATCACGGCGCAAAAGTAAAATTGCTACTTTTCATCAGCAGCTAAAAAGTGGCCAAAATACAATTCTGTAGTTTTCCATCGACTTAGAAGGGTGCCACAATATTGAAATGGTACAACAGCATCTGTGTCGAACTGACATCGTCTCAATGTGCAAACTAATAATGCGAACTATATAAAAGTAATTAATTTTTTTGTCCTATATTTAAATATTCTTTAAGTGATTCTGTTGAAGTTGTGTGATTCTGATGAATGAAGTTAGCATTATTTTTTCAATTCTCAGAGAAATCATACTGAAGGCGTACAATTATTTTGGGCTTAAGATCAAGATCGGTTTCCAGCTGTTTCGGTAGTGCTTTCGAATACTGGAGGACAGAACAAACGCATAGGTGTGATTCTGTCTGATTGGGATCTGACTACCTCAAACTAAAATAGTGTGTGTGGTAGAGCTGCTTAAGTATATACTGTCATAAAGTTTTTAAGTAATTCCTCAAAAAAGTAAATTACTTACAGTCGTTTTCCTGACTATCATCTTTGGCAGAATATTTATTTTCAGATAATAGCTTCAGAGCAATTCAAGTGCGAAAGGCTATTCCTCTGATTCTGTGATATTAATTTGAGATTACCAAAATGTCCGTATGAGCTGAACATTATAAACGAGATACATGACATTTTGTCTTTTTGACATTTGAACTTGTTTTATGCTATACCCGGACCGCGGACAGTGGTAACATATCTATTCAGAGATGGTATGTTTACCTTCGATTATGGAATTGAGTTTGGAACTATTGCTAGTAAATTGCTATATAATAGAATCATTACATCGTAAGGAACATCTGGCACTCTGCGCATTTTCTTAAAAAGCTCAGTAGTATGCTTCAGCTGGGATTAAGTCACTGAGGTACTGTATAGCACAATTTGAATAGTTACCGTATATTAAACAGCTTTTGCCGGCAAAGCATGTCTATCTAAATATGGTAGTTGAAACTTAATCGTAACTGTTAATTATTCGAAATTTATGGTATGATTCAAGCGATGTGTACCTTTATTTAGGCGTTGAGGTGAAATCGAAATTTGGAAGGAAAAACACGAGCCTGCAGATGTGTTTTGAAATTCACAAAGCTGCTATTTTTTCAACTATGCCTGAAGGACAAAGTGTAAAAGACGGGCCTAAATTAAACAAGGAATACTCACAGCAGCTCAGGTAACTGCGGCACAAATTTTAAGCTCAGGTATTATGGAGAACTGTGAATCCAGGTATTATGGGACAAATGGAGGATTTGGCTTGCTAGCTTTCCTTATTTAGTACTCGTTCGAAATGCTACAGTGACTCAATGTTTCCAGAAACATTTGCATTCGTACGTCTTCTTTCTTGTTTGAGAAAACCGGGAAATTGAAGAACATTTTTGTGTCGTATTACATATTTACTATACTTTTTTTCGGCTATGCGCCTACAACTTTTATTGTCTTTATTATTGTCTCTTTTATTGAGTTCATTGTCTTTATTTTTATTCAAGTTGATAAGTTTGCTGGTAAGAGACTTATTACATTTTGACGCCTCAATATTTATTGTTAGTCATAACTCAGACACCGTTGTGCAAAGAATGAATCTTTCAAGACTTAGAATTAATGGTCAGTTTTATCTGATGTAGCCAATGATTATTCCCAAGATGGTAGTTTTCGAACGCCAGCCAAGATAACATCTTATAGCCCAAGTGAGTCGGTCAAGTTCAATTAGTGACAACAACAATTAGCGTTGTTTCTATGTAGGTAACTAACAAGCAAAAAAGCTCAGATGTGGCCGATTGAGGTCGGTTTAAAACCGCTCCAAACGTTGGGTGTATACTCCTGGTACCATTCGTGTGTCCGTATACACTCTGGAAACTTCCGTTGAGATCTAGGGCTCTTATTATTGGTGTTTTGACGTATTTCACTGTGCCTATAGGATTAGACCTTATCCATAGGCGGAGAGAAGCAGACATGCTTTTGTTCGTTATCTGTATCTTTGTTGGTTTGTTTTTTTTTTTAACGAGAACATATACGTTTTGTTCTACGAGCTGACTGTGCGCCGAGCGGTTAAGGAGGACTGTTTCCGTCGGAAGGAGACGGTTTCCGTCGGTTCCGAGAAGCATTTCCGAGTTTCGACTAGGCGATAACCACGCGAAAGTTTTTCATGTTATGAACGTCCGCACAAAAGCCCGTTTATTTAATAGCTTAACATGGAGGTAACACCTTCAACGGATAGCACTTCATGAGATTGTGTATACATGGATCGTGCCAATGCACTAGATTAGAATCGAATTAAGAGTTGTTTTCTCAGAACTAGTTTATGCAGTACCCTTCGCGCAGAGCGTATGCGATTACTACCAAAGAAAACATCGAAGTACAAAATTCTATGTGCGGCATGCTCAACTAACACTCCATTAACGACGAAGTTCTGTGTAGTAACAGCCATGGACCTGCGTCTTTCCTGTGATGCGTAATTGTTCTATGAAATAGTGTATTTACCTTGAGAAAGCGATGGATCCCGTGCCCCTAGCTGATCAATCCTTCGTAGCAGAGCCCGGGTCTCATACGTCATTCCGCATGTCAGCACGTACAAGTGAGAAATTAATACGATTGTATCAGTGCTAAGAGGCCCGAATTTTCATACGCAAATGATGACATTTAATAACTCTCTGTGAAATTGGCCGATTTCCAAACATCGTTTAACATATATATCGTATAAAGGTAGTGTGAACCGAATTGGGCCCTTTTTACCGTCGGTATTATGGCACAGTAGAAATCGTCGAAGTTGAAATTTAATAATGTAATTCACATTGTTTATGTAAATGCTCTCTAGTACCTTCCCAAATATATTTTACTTATAAATAATTTAATTAAAAAATATTTAAGTAAATGTAATCAGTAAAGGGTTATCAGTAAATCTTGGATATCTGGTTTTACATTCTGCTAGAAATATGAATCTTTTGTCATGAAACCTATCGAAGTACACACCTACTGGAAAACCATTGTCCATTAATTCGTGGACACTGTTCCATGAGCTATTATTGACAAACGGCACAAATATCAATATCATATAGAGACATTAATGACTTTATGATATCTGTAGAAATGCCTATCGGACAATTGAATCGAATGACTCGTGCCGAGCTAGTTTCATAAAAATCCAAAGACAATTGTAAAATATGAAAATTAACTTTCAAATAAGCTACATAGTTAAATAACAAAATACTGTTAACATACCAATGCATGTTTTTTAGTTGTTGCTAGTTCACAAATTTAATAAATTTATTTTTTATTAGTACTTTTATTATTAATGGTCTGTAATAATAATGATAACAATAATCTATTATTTTTCACCTTGAGGAAAATTTTTGTGTGTCAATAAAATCTAAGTAAAAGGTCATACTGATTTTTATGGCACTTTTGTTGTAGCTGTTCAAGAATTTTTAAGTAGAGCAGTAGGACACAAAATTCAAATGGGTCTTTTAAAGACTTTACCTATAGCAAATCGTCTAGATGAGTTGTAAATGCTTATTGAAAATAAAATACGTATATAATTGTCTCATATAATAATCTTAACCCTACGGTTTTTTTTTCGCATTTATCGCTAACTAGAACATAGTTTGAAATATCTGATATGGGTACACATCGGAACTTAAATGTGCTATACATATATATATTCGTACTGCTTATACTGCTTGGATTTGTAGCCGGGTTCTGCAAATGCGCTAAATAAAGGGATACAGATTATCCAGCTTAGTTCATAAAGTCATTTGCTACGAGTTTATTAAAGCTTTGTCGGGTATCAGCAATCGAGGCCTCAAAGGGGTATAATTATAAACCATGCATAAAAACCTGCTAATATACTGACAGTTTTTTATGTCATCGTAAGATTTAGGTAAGCAGCGTTTCCGTTACTACTCTGATGCCAAATAAGCGCACTTTATAATTATTACAATAATAGTAATAATTTTACTAAATTGCCGGAAAAATAGTTTCCCTTATATTACGATTTACTATTACCGATTTTTGTCTGCCATCTTGACAGTTTGCTAGGTTGACAATAATCGCCAACGATGCGATTAATAGTCAGCCAATTTTTGATTTACCGCTATAACATTGTGCATTACAACAAAAAAAAAGTATCTACAGTGTCTGCTGTCCTCGATATCATAATCATAAAATGGGCGCATTTGGCACAAGAGAGAATCATAGTGACAAGGTGTTTTCCTTTTTTTTGTTTAAGTGGCGTTCGTGCAAAGGCTTCGTCGGAGAAAAATGTTGGCGTGTGCAGCTATTCTCTTCACTGTTTTCGCCGAACGCGTAGCTTTTTACGCTCTTGCCGGTTGGTAGTATGGAAGTGGAATCTACATAAAACATAACATGCATGATCATACATACAATGGCATATCTACAAGGTAGGTAAGTGTGTTTTATGTAGACAAGTTCAATTGGACGATAATGATTTGCTGCTTTCTGACGCACTATCTTTTTCTCAGATTGGGAAGTACTGTGTTGATGACGGGTTTTTGTTAGTATAACATAAGACGTGACATCTGCGATTTCTGCTGTCTGGTGTGACGGTCTATAGGCAATCTCTACTTGTTTCTGAATCATCATCCGCTAGCATGGACATCTCAAGACGCTATGATGGCCCTTCTCGTATTTACGGGAACCACTTTTGTCGGCGCGTTCTGTACCGGTTATCTAGGCGATGCCTGTGGCCGCTTCAAGATTATATTAGTGAGTTTACAAACGTACATGTTTGGCTTGATTTCCACACAGATATTTTCAACATATCATAGAAATTTACAGTTAATCAACAAAAGGTAACCCTGCCAATAAATTGCCATTAGAAATCCACTGGATTTTTAAAGAGAAAAGCACATGTACGCCAGAAGAATATGTGGTTATATTGGCTCCTTATATAACATTTTTTAACTCTAATAAACTGTACATCGATAAGACGGGTAAGTTCAAGAAGCATATTTGTACGTTCACACGAATTCTTCTCGATGTCAATTCCTGAAGGTCTCACTGCTCGTCTACATTCTTGGACTTGTCGCGTTCGTGACAATAGCTCAGTACCAGAACTCAGATGGGGGCGACTTTATCGGCCTCTGCCGAATCACCGACAACAACCAAAGCACTGTAACTCGTAAACACTTATTTAACTTGTCTGATCAAGATGATGTGTGGCTTGCACCATTATCTGAAAATGAGTATGTAGAGAATACAGCTTATACGTTTCATGCAGCTGACACACCTGCTGTTAACGCTCAAGTTGAACACCATGGCGCGCAAATGCAGTGTGGTACTACCATTTATGCTCTACTTGTCATCATTGGGCTTGCTTCGAGCGGAATTAAAGCAAATATTGTCCCCTTTGGTGCCGAACAGGTGAGTTTGTTATTTGGGCCATCCACCAACAAAGGAATATACTGATTTTAGCAACGATTTCAAAAAGTCTTCCGAAAGATATTTAGGGTCCACAATTATCATTCATTAGAATGTTGATAAACAGTAGATACCATCTCTCGACGTAGAAGTAGAAATATCGGACATAAAACGCGAAAACGAAATAGTCGATATTATGCATCAATATTTTTAATTAGTTACATAAAGTGAAGTAAGATTTTATATTGTCAACAGAGGTCACATAAAGATGCAGTTCTCTCTCCTAATCAAAACAAAACGTATCGTTAGCGTACTGCCTGCTGCAAATTGCCTCCTTATGTATTAATCTAATAATAATTAAATTAATTGTGCTTGTATGGTGCTGGTTTATAATATAGAGAAATCTAGGAAATATAGGTATCCAGCAGAAAATACTGTCCTTCATGCTGCCTGGGTCTATTTTTATATTTGATAGTTGATAGTATAGATTGTAAAAGCTGAAAACTCCTAACATCAAAAGACCCACACCAGGTCAAAACCATTACACGATCGTAGTGACAAAATGGAGACCATTTTGGAGCATATTACGTGTAGAAAGTGTAACAACGTTCATGCTAGCTACACGTGACTACACGGTGAGCTAATACTCAAAACTCAACTAATTTGAAAAGGTCAATCTTGGACCTCAAGGTTATCAAGCCGGCACTGTACCCACTTCACCGTTGTCATGGCGCTTTTTTTTTTTAATGCACCGAGGCCTCCATTTATATCGTGCCTAATCTGTATAATTTCAATAGGTTAAACAAGAAAGCCGTACCGCAGTCAGAAGCTACTTTACGATCTACTACTGGGTGGTGAACTTGGCGGCTTTTCTCTCCATTCTTGTGCTCGCTTATATCCAACAAAGTACAGCAGGTGGATTTGGACTGGGCTACGTAATCCCCACAGTGGTGTTGGTCATATCAGTAATCCTTTTCTGGGTCGCGCACTCGCTCTACGTTAGAGAGAACCCGGAACACCCTGTTCTCTACAGTATTATTCAAGTAAGTTGCGTGGGGACTCTGATGTTAACGGATCCATTGAAGCGGTTGGTTGATTCAAGTGCGATAAGGGATCGCTTGATTCTTGAAACCAGCTCCTGTAAATGTAAATCGAATTTGTTGCAAGTTTGAAAGTGATTTTTACTCCTGTATGATTCTAATCTTGCGTTTATATTTCCGGCTGTGACAAGGGTGTGTTTGCTTTATTTGTCTATAATATATTTAGAGTGATCTATGTTTACTGATATTTGTGCATGTAAAAACTCTACGAGGCGAGGCATGTGAAAGTAGCAATAGGTACCCGATATGAGCTTAGACAAAATTAAGTAATCAGTTATGTTTTTTTTTAGATAGACATGCTTATGGTTTATGCGCAAATCAGTATTTCTAAAAACAAATGTTTTTTCCTTTTTCACTGATTCTATTGCCGAAATAAGGATGGCATTCCTTAAGCGCTCTTTCAGCAGGTTAACTTTGCAGTTAATATTGTTTGATGGAAAAATCAACAATATTTTGACAACCAAATCCTAATCAACCTTACGCTGTTTTTTCCCCTGCGATACTAATGCTGTTGTATATTAATCGCCATCGGTTTGCGCGCTGGCTATGCAGGTGATGATTGAAGCTTGGCAACAGAATCGCGTAATGGGGGGTCGCCGCGGCTTGGCGGGACGTCAGTGGTTAGACGCAGCGAAGATTGAGTTCGGAGGCCGATTTGATAACGAACTTGTCGAAGATGTAAAACAGCTCAAATTCGTGGTGGGAGTTTTTGCGCTTCTTATACCGTATTGGGTACTCTATTTTCAAATGCAGACCAGCTTCCAGGTACGAACGAGCATATAAGGAACGTAAAGGCTGTAATATTTTTTAAAAATTAACAGATTTATCGCGGTTTCAAGTAATTCAGTATTGTTCGATTAGCATATATATGCATACTTTATTATTATTATTACTATTACCATTATTTTTATGCATTATTTAGCTACATAACATTTACTGGTTACCTAATTTTTATACCTATACAAAGTCCACATTGTAAGTGTTAAGCTGATTGCGGCTTTTTAGGAACAAGGATTGCATATGCGTCTTCTTCCAACATCGATGCTACAACCCATTAACAGTAAACAGGAGTTTACGGTAAGAATTGTGTTACGTAAAGCTAAAACGTGGATTCAGCTCGATGTTGCTGCCGAGCTGGCTCACATCATAACATCATTTTCACTAATACTCTTTTTAGCTGCATATCGAAACGACTATTTACTTAGACTTTAGGCACAATTTTAAGCGAAATATTCGCGGAGCGGAGAACTACACGCGGCGGAATTTCGATTCCTTTTTTTCAGATTCCGACGGCTTGGCTTACGCTGTTCAATGTCATTTTTGTGATTCTATCGGTGCCAATCTTTGAGCGGTGTGTGTACCCACAGCTGGAGAGACGCCAAAGAAGTCCTTCGACAAGTTTACGGATCCTCGTTGGTTTGATTTGTGCTGCGGCAGCGATGCTGTGTGCAGGTGGGGTTGAGGTGCATCGTTTACAATTAGTCCGCAACAATGAGACAATCATTCAGGTATATGAAGGCATTCGGATTGACATCGCTAAGTTTATTGGGTTTATATTATACAGTTGAATTGGCAGAATTCTCCTCAACATTCTATTCGTTTAACTCACAACGGGTAACACGTGTCCAACGATCATTCGCATTACACACATGCATTTCCTGCATTTAAAGTACTTACTTTTTAAATTGCGTTTAACGACTGCATTAATATTAATGTTTATTATTTGTAATTTATACTTAGGTGATCGACGGTACAGAATATGTGGCAGCTGACATGTGGGTGTTCTGGCAAATACCGGCCTACTCTTTTGTTGGCCTTTCCGAAATTCTGGCGTCGATATCCGCCGTAGAACTCGCCTACAGTCACGCGCCAGTTTCAATGCAGGGTGTAGTAATGGGACTATTCTACCTTTCGACGGGTAAGCTATTATTTCTTTCTTGTGACATTCTTATACTACAATCGAAAGGTTGGTCCTAACTAAATTATTAGTACTTTTAGATGCCAAAGAATGCAACAGAGGTTGTCGATTTAATTTGTTACACAAAAATCTTCTTCAGGTCTCGGATGCTTTTTCGGTTCGTTCCTGCTGTCAATTGTGTCGCCATATTGGCTGGCAGGAAATAGTCCGAATTCATCTCGGCTGGATAACTACCTTGGGCTATTAGCTGCCATTGAAGGCGGATCAGCAATCGTTTTTTATTTCTGCGTCGTTCGGGGTAGTGGTAGCCGACCCCTTCGAAGTACCTACGCATAGATACAATAACAGTATTGGCACATACAAATGAAAGACACTGTCAACGTTTCCAATACCCACAACGCCCAGACACTCCTTGAGGCGCCAGGGCGACGTGCTGATTCTTGTGTCGATAGTCCCGCTTGACTTTAAGGTCTGCCATCAGTCATGTAATGTCCCTCCTCTTGAGATCTGACTTTGCATCGTGATATACAACATTTTTAACTAGTAGGTCATCGTGAAAGTTACGACACAAGGGTTTTTCTCCTCGCCATCATTATTACTTTTTACCACTTTACGAAAGGGGAGAACTGCGTGCCAGAGAGACAAATCGAATATTTGTGTCGCTAGTATGTAGTTCCAATGTCCGCTGAACTGCCGAGTCGGCGAGGTTGTGTGTACTGCTAGTCGCTTACCAGGGCATCCACTTTCGTGTGCATGAACATAAACCGTAACTACCTATAATTGGGCACAGATAGTCCAGAAAACTGAACCCTAATGCCAGGCAGCGGAACTCATAGGATTCTTAGCAGGAGCGAAGTTTATCTGCTGCAAAGCTTTGAGAGCTGGTAGTCTTGTTTTAATATATTAGAAATCGATCATAGACAAATTTTGTGATGCTATGAAATGAACCTAATACGTCAATCATTAAAAAATTAACATTTATGATGAAGATATTCAGTTAGCTATGAGGTGGAGGAGGCTAGTTAGGTGAGGCAGAATCTGTAGCACAAGAACTAAGCCGGGAAAAAATTTCTCTGTTTGCCATTGTTGTTAGCCAAATAGATTTTTCGTTGTTTTCAAGCATTCCTCTGTTAAGTTTCCGGCTAGAGCTGACGATCATTTAGGATGTAACGTCGAGTTCGAGGGACGTCTGTGCAAAGTGCATTTGATAAGCCGAAAGCCGTTGGCGTGCACCCCATATATGCTTTAATACTACAAGGATATTTTAGCCATTCCACCTGTGAATGGCGGGCGAAGTTCTTGTATCTCTTGTACAAAAGCTAGTGAGTAGCCGATATTGGTACTAGTGAGAACGTGACATCTGTAACACCTATATGAAAATACACGAGTGCGTGAATGTATGCGTAAATGCATGTGAAAGTGCGTGTCCATATATTAGCTCTATGAATCTATGATGGTTCAAGAATTATTTTGTAAAAAAAACCTGAACTAATTTGCAGAAAACAGTAGCACGCAGCTACTACAGTGTGGCTAATAATTTATGCTGTTGTATGTAACTAAATGGTCATGATGATAATAGTAATGCTAATCTACTTGTGAGGATTCTTGGAGAACTCGGACTTATTGTTCCTATTCAGCTGAAGGTTAATGTATGCCAATCATTCTAGCTGAAGCTTGATGTAAGCTTCACGCCGTGCCTTATCAACCTAAGGAAATGTACTGAACGATACACCCTCTTTACGAGGGAACATTTTGTGGCCAATCTTGAAACAAACTGGAATTTTTTTATAAAATGTGTGGTACTCTGAGGGTCTAGTTACGGTTCGCCACTAATATCTGTGTTGAAAAGCTTGTTTTTAAATTTGTCGATGTCTTCTATTTGATCTTACTGAGCCATTATTTACAGTAGACAATGTTCAAAGTGAATGTTAGACATCAGAAACTAAGAATTTCCTTTTATTTAACATCAATATGATTCTTTTTTTGTTTTGAATGCGATAGTATTCTAATATTATGTAACCTGTCGTTCCCGTCGAAAACAGCTTGATTCGGTGTACTCTTTTTCTAACGTTTCCAAAATTCTAAAGATGATCCCGTTTACATCGCATCACTAATAAACTATGTTCCTTTTTAGTCTGTAGAGGCCTTAATATGAACATTTCTACTTTTTAGAGTTGTCAGTTTGTCTCCTCAAATACAATTTGCAATCATATAAAGTTCTAGCTTATCACTTTATAATAATTTAAAAAATATCGGTAAATTATATATATTAAAAATTATCGGTAATAATAAAAAAATCGGCCTGATTTAGTAAAAAAAGTTGCCCAAATACTGTTTTTGTACGAGCATATTTTGTAGAAACGGGGCTAGATATACAAGTAGAAATACAGAAAGAAGAACTAGAAGGATTAACCGGAATTTTTGGTTAGTCTTAGTGAATTAGTAAAGCCCATATGAAAACTCTATTCACACTAAAAGGAGCAGACAAAACAGTGGCAGTGGGTAGATTTTTCCGATCAGCTTTAATCAAGAGAAACAAGAAGGTAGTGGGTGCTTCACCAGTGTTTGGTTTTTAGTGCTGAAATATGGTTTTGTGCTCTTTCAGATTTTCAAGTTTCCTCTTTACGCATTGCCGCTTACTAAAAATATTTTCACTAGTTACACATTACAAAAGAACATAACATAACAGAGAATTTTAATACTACCGTCAAGGTTGACTCCCTTGATTTTATTGATGAAGCTACCTGCTACTTGCTAATTAAGGCATAGGGAAAATTTCGCTTGTAATATCGTCTGTGCTAGTGATCAGTTATGACGTGAAATTGGCGTACTTACTAGACTTCTCTATATGATGTTCATCTAAACGTCTTTGCTGAGTAATTCCATATGTATATTTGCCACATATTTCAGATTTTATATTTTACGTTTGCCACGACTTGTTGCACCATTCATGATAAAACATTTAGTAATTACAAAGCTCTATTGAAATTGATTAACAAGCAATATTGTTAGAGAAAAATGAGCTCCTCAAACTTGTGAGAAAGATTCAAATAAATATACACTATGCATATATTTATAATTTGTCTTCTCTTGCATGCTCGTTCTCTCTTTGTCGACTGTATATAGTTAGAGCATTTTTTTTCTTAATCTATTGCAATTTCCATTTTCACACAAAGTGAATTTAAGAAAATTATTAGAATAGTGAGAAGGTAGAATTGTTTAGGTTATAAATATCGTAGAGCCAAGTGCTGTATGTGTCTCATTCGGGCTACATGTGTTATCGATGGTAAAGAACCAATTTTTAACTTCTAACTTTGGGCCATTACACAATTTTTATTGATTTAGATCTACTTTCTTTCATATATCTACTTATTTTTTTCATTGGGGTAAATGTTTGTGGGTGGAAACGGATTCGTTTGTCACGGGGCTGTTGATCGATGTGTTATGTAGTTTAGTTACTAAAAGCCCTTGGGCGCTTAACACATGTTATACCAACTGCCACTAAACATACTTTCTGAAATTTCGTCGACTATTAAAATAAACCATAAACATGTTCAAAAGAATTTACTTCCAACACACGTAGTCCGATTAACTGAATCACTAATAACGTTTGTCGGATGCTAGGGCCTACAGCCCGACAGTTGTGAGTCTGGTACTGCCATTGAACATTGCTTCAGACGACTGGTTCTCCGTATGAAACTACAGCGCTTCTCTATAACAATTAATGGGTTACTGAACTAGAAATATGTATTAGCTATTAGATAATGTATTCTACTACTATAGGTACCATCAATAAGATGAGTAGCATGGTCCGGACTGTAATAATATTCTGTTCATGTCTGATATATGTAAAAGCTAACCGATCCAGTATAATCCCAGCGGAGTCCCTTGACACGGGTAATTCATCCAAAATGCAATGGGCTGGACACGCTAAAACGGTGAGTCCAGAGGTACAGAGCCGTTTGGTCGTTCGTAGAAATTGCTCACCACAGATACCATCAAGTAACTCACTAGTCGTATTCAACTCTGAGAGAGGAAGTTGTTGAGACAAGACAACGTCTGTTAGTTTACGGAGTTAAGAGATGTGCCAACGGGTCTCCGTTAGAGTTTTTTTTTTGTTATTTGGTTTATGTTATCTAGGCTTGAATGGTCAAGTAAGTGTTTCTTTTTCATCGACAATGTTTCTTTGAAACCTCGCTAAATTCCTGCGGAATCGTTTTTCTATAGAATACATTGCTTACCTTGTGAATGCGGTACCACTTTCAAATGTGTAAATGATGAAAATGATAGAGACACCGTTTGTGGAAGAGTCTTTCAACTAACAGTTACAACTTTGGATTCGTCCTGCAATAAACTACACTTGGCATTGGTGGTTCAAAACACCACATTCCATGCATTCACTCAGTATCATATCTGGCTAATTACCCTTTGTATATATAAAGATGCAGGACGTACAAACGTCTGACTTGTCCACGTGGGCGACCTCCAGCGGTTGTTTGCAGCCTGGTTTGTACGCGGTTCACAAGCATAGAACGAACCGACGCCTTACCCAAGTTCCTGTTACCAAAATCATCACTGGTACGTCGTATCATTTTTTGAGACTTATGATCCCACCTTTGAGCAATGTAACTCCGCATGGCCTTGGCACCTGCCTCTCAATGAATTATGTATAATTCACGACTATTCTACTCTACAGTTTAATTAACTGATCCTTTGATAAGCAGCGTAGAAATATGAGGGTGATGATGCTGCAATTGAAGTCGGCCAATTATTATAGTTGTGAAATATAAAGCTAAACAAAGGATCCTGATCTCCAACACAAGACTTACGGTCTCAAATACAAGATTGTTTTTATTAGTAGCATAGAACTCGAAATCGGATGATCTTAACGTGCGTCGAAGCACGAGGGCACTCAGGGTGGTTCTCAAGCATCGTTAATTTCTTTGTCTAATACAGACTATTATGCGTTGAGTTTGTTCGTAAATTTGCGCATTTGGAAAATTATTGCACATCATGATTTAATTGCTAGAGTGATCTCTTAATAAGATTTCTCTATTTGCCCTGTTCTTAATCGACCCTGCAAAGCAAAGCATTTTGAAACTAGTGTCAGTTATCACAAAAGTCGTCTTGGACCTTAAGCATCTCTAGGGTCAAAAACTAGTTGAACGTAACCCAGTAGAGTGTGAAAGATGTTTCATTTCTGAAAATGCCAATCGGAAACAATACCCCGAGGTGAGGTCCTATGATTAAGAAATATGTCTGTCTCAAATAGCTCCGTCTTAGTATTGCTGATACATTATGCGAATGTGCGTATTTAACCCTCACAGGTATGAAGGGTCTATCGCCTTACCATTGTCTCGCCAGCTGCATTAAAGCCGGAGACGACTGTGCCGCTTTTAATCTGGACCGTTCGGCCGGAGTTTGTGAATTGCTATCTGCACACGTTTGCAATCATTCTGGATTGGAACTCGATCGCAGTGACACCTTCACGTATTACGACGTTTATCCTGAATCATTTATTGAGGTATTACGTTTAAGGTTGTTACATCTTTTGTGTTTGGTATCAAATAATCTACCTCCAATATTGTTTTGACAATGTATATCACTTTGACCGGTTTTGTGCTATAACTGTGAAAGTGTCATGAAGTGCTGACACGTTGATAGTCAGAATCTTTCTCATCAACCTTTTTTTAATAATGTTATTATATAGACCATGCGCAATAAATGTCTGTGAATAATTTTACGAAATTAATTGAAACATTGTAATTTTAAGAAAATTCGATGCCAAATATATATGTTTTGTTTATTTTCATATTTTACTTTTAAGAAAAGCGGGTTAATGTACAACACTCCATACTGTGAACTCAAGGGATACTGCAACCCTGAATGCGAACCATGTAAGTGCCTTCACGCGCACCTATCTCTCTGTATGAAAGCCCAGTACACTGCGAGGTCGAGCTAAAGGCTGTGTTCTCCATTAACCCGACGGAGCGCAAGTTTCATCCAGGTTTGAATGACCTAAAGATCTAAGAGATCAGCTGGTCTGAGCGAATTTCTCTGAGATATGGATAAAAGTCGTTTCCGGTGTCACTTTGACCACAAGTAACGAGACAAAAGGAACGAAGTAAACGTCGCGTAAATTGCTTTCTATCATAGCGGACACGCTTCAAGCCAATATAGTGCCTCAGCGCACACTCAGTAACACATGGATGTGTCCCGTGCAGTCTCATCCCTATATATGCGCACTTCAGCTGTGTAAGAAATGCTTGTGTTTTTCTCGTATTATAGGGGTCTACATGCCTCACCTGGATGGATACTGTAATGAAAGTTACGAATGCAAGATGCGTATTGGACCTCGAGGTGTTTGTCGTGTTCCACCCAACCTTTGTAAATGCGATCGGGACTACTATATTGCCGAAGATCCCAAACTCGAAATCAAAATTTGCCTTAAACGTACGCGGTTTCATTTAATCTTCTTATTCATGTACTTCATTACATCTAGTGTTATGATTTTGGTGTTGTTAGGAGTCCAAATGTATAGTTTTTTTTGAAAAATTTTGAAAAAATAACATTTGAAATGTTACTGCCTACGATGTGTCAACTAATTCCTACAAAGAACATACATACCGCCTGTTCTTAGCTAATCTTTATTTAATCACAGTTGGTGCAGACGGTTACGAGGTGTTCCCCAACATAAAGTCTGACTCGAAAAAAGGCCTGCATTTCAAACTTGTCATGGTCGACCTCGACTTCGAGCGGGCAGCAAACTATTGTGTTGAGGTGAGTACTTCACTGTAACGCATTTCAACTCGTTCTGGTAGGTCATAGGACCCTGCCGGTCGACTAACGTTGATTGCGTAACTTAATGTTGCGTTTACATATATATATATAGTCAGCAGCTTTACACTGGTCCTAAATACCTGTAGCTTCAATTGACCAAAAGGCCCAAAGGAAAATTGTACCCCGGCATGTGAACTTGCATCTACCATCCTAAGCCCTGTCAGGTTTTAACAAATATACAACGTTTCACAATTTTTGTCGTAGAAAAAAGATAAAAACACTTCTGCACTTCTACAGGTGGAGGGAGGGCACCTGGCATATGCAGAAGATGGAGAGACAAACCGTTTTCTGCGAGAGTATATGCGAAAACAGAAGGTCAGGTCGGCCTACCTTGGGCTTACCGATCAGCAACAGGTCAGTTGAACTCAATCTTTCTTCTGAACGTGGCACAAGCATACTTATCCTCTTCAACCGACCTGTTCTACTGTACAACTGTTGTATTAATTTTCAAATTCTTACATGTGATATTCTGAGTATCAGACCAGATTCATGTACTTAGTTTTGAACCGATTCACAATACTAACCAAGCGTGGTTATTTCCTTTTTTTGTAGGAGGGTGTGTGGATTTGGATTCATAATGGGAAAAAGCTCAAAACAACACAGTTTTGGAAAAGTGGCGCTCCAGACAACTTTAACGACATGGAGCACTGTGCAATGATCACAAATGAAATTGATTTCGGTTGGGACGATGTGCCCTGCGATAAGGTCGGCAAATTTATTTGCCAAAGGCCTGAAACGAATTAGTTCGAACACTGGTTGTAAGATACTAGAACAGTTCTCTTCGCAGATTTTCATTAGCCCACAAAAAACAGAACTGGTAACCTATAATGGATGCGATTATAATTGTCTGAGTTGAGTTTGCAAGACATTGAAAGTGCTACATATTGTGATATGACAAAAGAAAAGGCAAAACTTTAGTAAGTTACGTTTTAGATCGTGAACGATCCAGAGTCAATACTGCAAACCTGTTTTTTGTATTAGTAGTGTTTTTTTTCACTGTACGATGCGCTAATATGCGTGCCCAAATGTCAGCTGATGTCATCATTAGGCCTCAAAACGGATCGATTTACGTAGACTAACCACGGTTACAATTAGCCAAGCAATTATTTGCAGTCGGAGTACGATCTGTAGCATCCAGCTAAGAAGTTTGAAGCTAAATAAATGCACATGCTGTACAGTATCCATCTCAGCAACTTCTACTTGAAACTTAAGTTCTGCGTTCACAATTTACTTTGTCTTTTGTTACGTATGTTACTTTAGAATATTGGCGGCAATGAACCTATTCAGTCAGCGTTATTGTTGGACCTAAACTATATCTATAGTTTAGGTCCAACAATAACAATAAGGTCCAGCAAAACTATCTAGTTTTGCTCCTTTAGACGTCCATATTAAATATATGTTACTAATAAAACAAGAATTGTATAAAGCAAATTTGCAAGAAGAATTACATTTATACTGCTGATGTACATAAAGACACAGTCTCCCAGGGCCGTTTTGCTCGTAGTTCATGATATATATACATTCAGAATCTAAGTGCATCCGAGCCCCATTTACACTATTTATTATTACACATCGCACTACCTGGACATTCAGGAACAATTGGTTGAACAGTTAGTTTATTGATTATCAGAAGTTTACGAGGTCGACGCGTTCCTTTTACCAGCGTGCTCAATTTTCAACAGGATATTTTGAGACTTAGCCAAAGGGGCGAGGTAGCACGTAGGTAACGTCTTTAAATGATGAGCAGAAAAACCTCGGTTTGAAATTTTCTAAAAATAACCTGCAACCAGCGAATAAGTTGCGGCCGTGTGTTTAAAAAGCTGTATGCAGCTAAACTTACGAGCTGCGTCTTGAAGGCTGAAAGGATCGAGATTAGCAAAAAAAAATCTGACTCGAACTAGTACACGTATTAGTCAGCAGTTTTTCTTTGCGATTTTAAGTAATGATTGAATGGACCTTTGAGGTAGCTATTGGTTAGACTTTTGAATTTTTACGTAAACATCTGTTATTTATTTTGTGATGAGTAAAAAAATGAGCGGTAATATCCAGGTTTTTCCTTTCGATTCTTGCAGTATATTCCGATTTTCAATCGGGGCTAGTTTCTTTAAATAGGAAAGGGTCAACTCCGCGAGAGCGATCTGTTTATTCAAACATCCTAGTCGCGTTGTTTAACGCGTATCGAACAGTATTCACCTTCATAACGATACGAATTTTTATTTTGTACAGAATAAGGCCCACAAACGATATTTACAAATTTGTGTAAAGCGATAAAAACGCAATCTTGGTTGGCTAATTCGTTCTGGAGTCGCCTCCAACGTTTCGACTAGACAACAAACCAAATTCGAAGTCTGATATAATTTAAACATAATAGCATGATCGGACATCCTGAACTTATAAATCCATTTGGCCGGTATTATACATTGATTGAATTCAGCGTCAATGGTTCCTTTAAAGCTAATCGAAACTATTTAAAGCAAAATATATATACGACTACATGCCCTATGACAATACTGTGATTCGTTCCGGCAGCTGTTCCACTTATTAATCGAATTAACGTATAAAATTCCTTAGGGTAAAAGACCTGAGAAGATACTGTGATCGTTACTGGAAAACAGCTGAGCCCATACAAAGCTAAATCATTTTAGTTAAATCAAAACCTTTGCATAGTGTGCGCAACCAGCACTACGGCTGCGTATAGAGAGTCAGAATCAGTCTGCCAATGTAGCGACGAAGTATTAAGATAGGGATCTTGAGCTTGGCAGTGTTTCTAAATGAGCACAAACATATAGCAGAACTAACCCTGGGCCGATGCCTAGATGTCTCTAAATCAGACAATGATAGTACTACGTTTAAAAGGGCGAAAAAGAAATCAGCGGATCACTACATGTGCGTACGACCTGCAATGTGACTCCGGATATCAATCCATAGGGATTATGATGTGCCCGTATAGACTTATTCCATGGCGTTGTCTCCAAAGGCTACCAGTCCTTCCCTATCCGTTATACTCAGTTACTGAAAAAGTATTGATGGTCTTGTTAGCGAGATAACTTGCGGTCATATATCTCATCTGAGTCGTTGATGTTATTTAAAAGTTGAAATTTGGTGGTCTTTCCTTATGGCGAAGCTTTACAAAAATGTGCCGAAATCGAGCCATTATCGAAGATGTTGATCATGGATAATAAAAAATAGGTCAACAATAATATGCAAAAAAGATTGCCCCACAGCTGTGGCAAAGCCCGGGCCTGGCGCCAAAGAAGGTGATGCTATGTGTCTGATGGGATTGGAAAGGAAACGTAAGCTACTACTGCTTGGCAAAAGGATAGATTCGGACCTCCACTATTAACAACAAACAAAATGGCAACGTATCATTGAAAAATTGACTGGAACTGGTAGGCAGAAAAGGCAACGTCTCTCGTCATGGGAATGCAAGACCACAGCCACACACACACACCTTTAGCTACCCGGAAAAAACCCGGGATGGGTAATTTTATACATCCACCGCATAGCCTATATGTTGCATCATCAGATAATCACCTGTTTCAATCTCTGCAGAACGGTGCTAACTTGGTTTCAATATAGGGATATAAAAACCACATTTTTTTTTGCCTCGAAACCACAAGTTCTACAATGATAGGACTACGTTGTTTTTAAAAAATGGCGTATATTTAGTAAGTGTGTTGGTTAAATATAGAAAAACAAAGATGTCTGCTTCAATTTTGGCTTAAAAAGCGTCAATACTTTTCCACCACCACTATATATGTTCCAAGAAGCTATTTAGGATAGGCTATGTGACGAGCCGAAATATCGACCAGTTACGGCTGCGTGAGCTGTGGGTTGCATGTGAAATTTTGCTCCAATAGAGCGTAATGCTAACTCGGTCTTGTTCTTTCATTCTAGCAATTCGCTCAACAACCATTGAGAATCTTTGAAAAACCTATAGACAAGCTTCGCAAAACAAATACGAAATTGGATTTTAGGGAAAACGATGAATTTTTCATATTTTCATTAGTGCTTTAGTGGCTGGCATCGTCAACCGCATGCGCAGATAGAATCTGATTTGTTTACGTTTATTTTGGCAATTTCGAATTGAAGTTCAGTTACCTTTTCAAGTAGCGACATCTATCCAGAGCGCCAGCGGATTGAGACTAATTATAACAAAATTCAGTATTCTAGTCAGGCAAGATGGATTGACTATGAACGTACGATTTCGTAGTTTTATCTAAGCTAGTTTTTGTCACGCTAGTCACTTCAACGCTACCCTGACTCCTAGTGATTTTACGCAACTATTAGATCTTGAACGGGTCGTTCCGACGAAGTAATTTGCCTAAGCTACGTCTCATTTAAATACGTTTATGTACTGTAAACGGGCCGATGGACTCCTGCTATACGGGTCTATTTTATAGTGTCCGGGTTGCATGTGCCAATATCGAAATCTTTGGTTTTTAGTACCATTGCATCTGGGCGCAGGAAGTCGCATTTCGTATTGAATCTGCATTGGGTTGCTGTTCAGTAGAAAACGTGGCAGATATTATCCTCATGTTTTATTATTATGATATTATAAACATTGCGATACTTTTTGTGCTCAAGGCATACAAAGTAGTTTACTCGACTTAGGCTTTTAGCAGACGAATTACCGAACAACTTTTTGGAACTTTGTATTCGGTAAAACTTTTAACAATGAATCACAGTTTAGAAGGAATGTGGGGAAGAAATTTCAAATCTGAAAATGAGCATTTAGGGTGATCTGCGCATGTGAAGAACGAAGGGTTATTGATGCTGACTCACCCCCAAAAGTCTTGCAAAGATACTAAATTCGAACGGTGATAGCAAAACTGCCGAACGGCAATGCTCTCCGATACTTCTTGTACCCCCCAAATTCAAAGTATCCAACAATATCATAACAGTGTGTACTTCGATTTAGAATAAGAGAACTACCAACACGAATGAGGTTCGAAAAGTTAGGACTCACTACATCACGTGCAACAATCTACTAAGCAATATCGTACCTGCCATTGGAATGGTATTGTCATCTCCCTTTGGTAGCACACACCAACACTCAAACAAATGCTTCAACTAGCGAATGTTGAAAAACAAGCGAAGATTCAGATTGGGCATCAAACCGTCTTACGCGTAAATATATGTATGCATTTTTTTGTTTAACTAAATAATTATAGTAGTAGATATTTGGTACGACTCTATCTTTACATATACAATATAGGGTATCACAAAAGGCTGACGTTTACTAAGACTGTAAGAAGAACTGTCATATTTTCATGTCCATTGCACAAAGAAGACTCACCCGTTATTTCAAAACGCTGATATATATTTTTTATAAAAGCTCTGAGACAAGCTTAATTATTTGCTTACAGAACACGTTCTAGTTTAGGCAAAATAAAGTCCACTGAGCTTTCGTTAAAAGTTTTTAAAATATATGAATAGATGAGATGTACTCATTGTGGATATAAGAACATTATTTGGGTACACTTTTTTTAACTGTTGATGGTGAGAAGCAAGGAACAAGTTGGCTGGGTTTACTGAGCATCAGGAATTTGCAAGCTTTGAGCGTCTTCTTGATCCGAATTTTTAATCTTGTTCACAGTAGTCGGCGGAGTATCTTGAGGTTTGTTCAAGCCAACAGCATCCTCGGTAGGTACAAGTGCAAGTTTTGGGTCATCAATTGGATGAGTAATCTTGGTCCCAGGATCTGTAGAGGTGACAACGTGGCTAGACGAAACCTGTAACCACCGAGTTTCAATACAATTCCATTATAGGCTCAATAGATCACATGCCACTTTCCATGGATCATATTATAAGACTAATTGCGCGCTGCATAAAGCTTTGCTACGAGAAGCAAGAGCATGTTTGCCTTGGGTATGAAATGAAAAACGAAAACAAAAATAAAAAAAATACTGAAAAATCATGCGTTGCTTGGTCCGACCCTATTTTATACCTTGGTCCCTATTTTATACCCCATATGTTGAATTCAACATTTTTTTTTGTTACCAATTTTTTGCCCTTACCTTAAGCGGCGCGGTACAAGGCAAAAGGTTTGCAAAATGACGACAAATAAAATTAGCAATATCATGTAATAAATTATCGTTATAGACAAATTAATCAAGGAGTATTTGTTTGAAAAAGGCAAAAAAAAATCGTTTATTGCGATATCACGTTCCTGCTCAAAAAGTTACGATCGATTTTAGGTAAAAACCGGCTACACAATGTTGAATAACCTCAAAGCAAACTATAGAATTATTTCGATATGCTTAGATAAAATGTCCAATATATAATTCATTTAGCCCTTGTCCTTCTCAAACAGGACATTGGTGACTATTTTCATACTAACTTGTTCAGCTGGAGCTTTTGGCGATTCCTCATCCGAAGTGAACTTGATTGCACGCGTATTACTATTACGCATACCCAGACTTCCACATGGCTGGCAATTACATGCAGTGGGCCGACGGAACTCTCTAAAATATCGGAACGTTGTTGATAGATAGATGTCTTAGCATATATGAGGCATGTCCTAAGCTTGAGTTAGATATTAATCATGCAAGTAAAAACCTTTACGCAGGCCTAACTTACCTGTGAATAGTTGCCCCGTCATTGCAGGCCAGCTCAACTAGGATAGGGGCCCACTTGACCGGAACGCAACATCCGCATGCCGATTCGATATCGTCCTCACGTTTGAAAGCAGATGTCGAATGGCACGTGCCTGAGCAAACGGCAGCCTCGGTGACGGGCGCCTGATTAGCACACCGTCCATGCACCAAATCGAAGTACTCGAAGACCGATATTGAATTTGTCATCGATGCGGGTCTGCAATCCTCCGCTGGGGTCGCTGATAATACGCGATTATAGATATTTTATGTTCTGCACATTGTGTCGCACATTGAATACAGGTTCTCTTTTCTGATTACCAATTTTAAGATAGTTCCTTCCAAATACAGGACGGATAAATCGAGGATTCATTTTAAGACAAAAACAATCGTTGAGTGGGAGCATCTAGAGGGTAGCCTTTAGTTTTGGTAATGTACGATTTACCGATTCGTAGAATTGTGCTTAAGCAGCAAGGAACTCGCTAACTGATTATTTAATTTAAAAAAAAATATTATAATAAACTCAAACGTTTATTTGCTCTATGAACCCCGCGCATTCAGGAATTAATTTCCTCGGCTAATAATTTGACTTAAAGCCCCGTGACTCGTTGTTGAATAGTTATAGCACTTACTGCAGATATGTGTCTTGGGGATGCAGCGGATGCCGTCTCTGATGTGGTTCGGCGGACAGACACATCCGTCCATACGAATACGCCGGCATTCGTCGTACTCAGAAATTTCGTCACAGCCTTGGGGGCAGGCGTCAACGCATGGGGAATAAATGAGGTCTCCCGGACACGTTGTGTCTTATGGGAAAAATTAAGTACATCAGTACGATCAACGATATTAGTTAACCTCTACTGTTCTTAGATATCGACATACTTCTTCCCGTTATGTAGATTTTGCCTCAAATTTAAAGCCGATAACATTTGGCCGATAGCAAAGAGCTATTTTCATTTGGGAGTTTTCCGGAATCCCGGCTGACACTTTACTTACCTACAGATGATTTTAATGAATGACTAATAAAATCATATAATTTGATACATGAAAATTATACTTTCATTCTCTTCACTTAGGTATCACATTAACATAGTACACTATTTAATACCACATGACTCGTACTAACTACATCCGATGTTCGTCCACCACTGAAGTGCAATGCCGTGTTCGCAACATCTTCTTGAATACTCGAGGGCTGAATTGCAGACTGCGCTCATATAACTCTCGTTTACGACGCTGAGGCTGGAAGCTTCCTTCATACATTGTTGGGCGTACGGTTCATAGCTAACCAACGCGTGACACCCCGCAAATATCGTCGGGCCATTGAACATCTGTTCACAGGCTTCAGCAACGGCTGCTGGCATTAAAAGTGGAACTTCCCCACCATCGAATTCCATGATGCACTCTCGACGGTTCTGCTCAGATTCAAAGCGACCCCAACTGCAGATGAAGCCATAGATATCATCGGTTGTCTCTCCGTCTTTGAGCTTCATATCGTCGTTCGGGTCGTTATTGCAGTTACCTAAAAATATAAGTGATTCGCTGATGAGATTGTCAGCAGCCATGGCAACATCTGTATTTGTAGCGCGGCCTGAAATCGCTTGAACTCATTACAGAATTGCAGTGTCCAGTTCGAACGATGTAAGCGTACCATGAATGTTTTGAAGTGCATGAAGCCGAAAGGGAGCCGTTTGATTTTAGGCTTACGAGAATATTTGCATACATTGTTAGTGTTGATGACGAACCACATAAGCCTTCCATTTTATCGAAGAATTTCTTCGACGGAACGTGGATAGAGAATCCAGCATCCTCGTTACTATAGTGGACTCGAACACCGAGGCGAGAAAGTGATATGACGGTTGTCCCATAAGAACCGCTCTGTAATGAGAACACGGAAAGTGTCGAATCCGGAGACTTCCAAGGCAGCATTTCCTCGGAGAATACGTGGCCGTCGATTTCCGTCTGTGCCAGCAAGCATGAAACAGAAACAAAAAGGCGTGTAACCTCAAATCTCATAGCTGTTCGGGTTATTTGAGGTACTGAGAAAGGAAAACCCTTAAAAGATCTGCGCACAATGTGCGATATATCGAAAACAGCTAGACCGTTATTTTATATGTAGCCTTTGTTATGGGATCTAGAAAAGCAAAGCGTCAAGCAGTTTGGCAAATTGATCAAATTCAGTGGATAATAACACACAGCCAAGATGATTCATACCAATTCGTTGCGTCTGACTCGAATGAGATGGCCGTTATACTTTACGTCTAGACCCACAACACAAACCATTCGTTTCGCACAAGAACCAATAACTCCATGTACAGTAAACAGGCCGTCATGATCTGAGGCAATGTTAAATTCGCCTGCTTTGCCCAAGGAAAAACTCCAGCCGTCGAATGTTTTCATTTGCGGATCGCCATAACCGACACATACTTCTGAAATAACCATGACAGGATAAATTTTAACACGGGATGATAGTCGGAGCACATTTTGGGTCAAGTCCATTCTAGTCACAGTCTAATCCTCCCAAAACGTCCAGTTAATAGTCGAAAAAAATTTTAGTTAGTTATATGTAGTACAGCACGAAAATATATGCAGTAAACTGTCTAATTGCTCGTACGTACTATCTGCACAGCTTTCTGGTTCAATGCATGAGTTCGTTGTGTAATCAATCACGAGACCCACGGGACAAAAGCAACCCGAAATACAAGTTCCGGTGTCGTTCGAGACGCAGGTCAGCTGGCCAGTTTCGAAGAAATTTTGGCACGTAACTACGCACTGCGGTCCACAGTCGTGATACTCCTGATCCGGTGGGCATTTTGGTGCTGCAATTAGGCGAAAGAGACGTCTGTTGTCTGGATTTTTACCAAAAACTCATCGCGCACCTACCATAACGCTATACAATGCTCGCAAATTTAAGTAAGCTCTTCAGCTTCACAATGTAAGCATTCGAAGTGAATGTATCAACTTTGTTTTTCCAAAATCGCATCAATTAAGTGCCCAGGAACAGGCATCGTATTAGAATATAAACCTAATCAATATAAGAATAGGTACGAACTTCATTGTAACGCTTCTAGCGATGGAAAAGTTAGGTAGATGTTCTTTATTATCATACATAGAAGTTAAATTGCAAACAAGTTATAGTCGGGCAAACACCTCGGGACCTGTGACTGTATTAGTGAGCGCATTTGTTTACCTACCACAGGAGTGTCGCTGGCGCCATCCGGCCATCTGGTTAATGATTTGATGTCCGTGGCTGTTAACGCAGGCTGTTTGGAAGGCCGTGTAGGCGTTGCAGGTACAGTTATTTACCGCTCCGCCTAACTGAAGACAATGGCATGTAGCTGCCAGACAATCCTTGAAAGCATTCTTCATTTCAACACAAGCCGAGAAGGGCGGCGAGCTAGAATTTTTAAAAATAGTGTTGTTATTGATATATGCATGATCACTAGTAGTATGTGCGTGTGGAAAAACTTACGAAAAGGCACAGTGTTCGCTTTTTCTAAGGAAGCCGCAACGCTTCGGCGTCTTTTTTGCTATTGTTTAGTATATGAGACGACTTTTAATGGTTGTAGTTATGATGATGGCATTAGTAGTTAGCGAAAACTAAACGTATGTCTACACATCACCTTGCCTTTCAGTTTCGCAATGCATCGTAAAAGGGGATCGTTGAAATACCCAAAAATACCAAAGCTAGGCCCTTTCTTACGTATGCTATCTGGTTTGGCTGCTTCTTAATTTTTTTTTAAAAAAGCTATGTTCGATAAGATGGAAAAACGTTATCCATTTAAAGATACAAACCTGAGTCGTCGACAAATATCCATTGCTTCAAGGGTAACCTCCGGTTTGCACGTATGCGAGACGCACAGCGCTCCAGGCGATGGTGGCAGCGTCCATGCGTCGGCGAACTGTTTCACGTTGTCTATCACCATTCCAGCTGGGTTTGTCATGTCATCTTTCTCGTTATAGTTAAATAGACCACAAAGACCCATTAACTGTTTCGAGAAACGTGGACTTACTATTGCTTTCATAGAGCTGCTAGTCAGCACCAGCCTTACTTCGTTTCCGCGGAAAGTCAGCTCAATGACATCTCCTATCAAAAGAACTTTGATGGTGCCACCAAAGGGTTCAGCCGAGGCCAGTTGAGCAGCATTGAATGGCTGGCCATTTACAATAACCACTTGAGACTGCGGGAAGATTTGGACTTCCTGCTCGCCACTTTTGAAAAATAGCTGCGCTTCGCAATGTTTAATTGAAGAACACTCGCGACTCACTGATAAAAGAAATAAAGTAGGGTGAATTCGTTATCTGTATACGGTATTGATTGGTCCCCATGATAGCCTAGTACGTGACTTATTTGCCTGCTAATCCTAGAGACACGCTGTGGTTTAGCTCCGAACGCAGGCTTCGTTCCGTGCTGGGAGCCGGCCGCTTAATAAAATACCTAATGGCGATACGGGACGTAAAACACACAGGTAGTATTGACTGATGCTAGGAGCTAGAAATATATAGCAAGACTGTCCGGCGGGCGCGATTATCGAGTGGGACTGATATAGTATATTATAGAAACGGTTACATGCACAGAGACACAGACGACGAAAATAGATTCTGTGTCCAGATGTACTATACCTGGTAAAAAAAATGTCAATTTTGTAGACGTAGGTGTGAGGTAAACTTACCGACGATACTGAACAATCCATTAGCTACGTCTTTCGCAAATACGTTTCGGCAATAGTCATAAGAAAACTCTTGGCCGTCAAACGTCTTCAAATGATTACCAATTAGCTCACATGTCGCAGGATCTGAATAGTTTAATAATGGATAGAATGAGATTACATTAGCTGAAATGCAGGTAAGTTCTTTATTTCCACCGTATATTGTGTAGTTTCCATTTGAAGAACCTTAATAGCGTTATAAGCTGTAATATAAGTTGCTTCTGTATAGTCTATTGTTACAATTAAAATGATAGATTCTCACCCAAGACTAGGTCATATGAAGAAGAAGGCGAGGGTTCAAGCTCTGCAAAGAAGAAAGACGATTTTTTCTAAATCTAAGTTACTTACTACTTGTAGGATTGTTTGATGGGGAGAGAAAAAACGGTAATTCTAATGTGTCCCCCACTGAAAGCGATTAACAACTGAGTGTTAAACGTATAAAATTTGATTTTATCAGTTTGTAACTCACATACAATAGTAAAACTTTCAGATTGACTTTGCGTTTTCTCGCTAGAATAGACAAACTCCATAAGAAATAGGCTTACCCATTTGACCATGGCATTGCATCTCGTCGGTATCGCAGTCTACAATACCGTCGCATACCCGTGAAGCATCGAGGCATTGCCCGTTTCCACATTTGTATTGACAAGCGAAATACTCAGCCTCGGTCTCAACGCACACGCAACGGCACGTATTATCGACGATTCCGGGTCGGTTATTCTTGTTGGGTAAAGGATGTCTGATTTAGAACGGGTTTAATATTGATCACTATCATTGTTAGAAAAGCTGGTTTACACTAAAAGCTAGTCTAGCCGTGTAGGAGGGTAGGATACTTGAAAAAGAGAAAACATCATACGGTAAGGTCAAAAGTCTGATGGACGTGTATCTATGCAAAGTAAAGGTTAATTTAAAGAAACGGAACCGATATGTGGCGGATGACATTCCCTCTTCGGTGTAAAAGCTGCGATATACAGCCACTGGTGAAATCATTTATCTCTGCGCGTCTCCCTCAAAAGAATACCTGACATGGAGGGCAGACGATAGGACTACAGATGGAGTGTCCTCCAAGCTGGCAGCTGCATTGCTGACAGCTCGATACTTCAACTCGGCCACCAACAGGGAAGATTTTACCGTCACGCACGCATGAGCATCTTTCCGGAGGTACACAGAAACCCTGGCCATCGCACAATAATCCTACTTCACACACAGGACACATCGAAATCATATTTGCCCCGACTTCCGGGCAGGCGAGTATCATAACTGGTCTCGGGGGCTCAGTAATGGTCATCAGAGGCAAGGGAGGTGGTGTGACATCTATAGACAACGAAAATACGCGACATCGATATTAAACTACAATGTGAATTCTTGAAAATTCGTGAAATATTTTCGCCTGTATTCCAAAGTTTTGAACGATCTTTTAACGCACAATGTGGCAATTCATAATGACTGTCCACAACCGGAGATCATTCATGCACTCTTCTACTCATTATAACTAAATACGGAATCCGTATAGGATTTTAGGCGTTTCCCTGTCTCCACTCCACGGAAACTCAAATCATTTAATGTATAAATCAATTCTATTCAATGTACAATATCGAATTTTATGTCTCTGAAAGCCGGATCAATGTATCAATAATATGCGCTTCACATTAAAGCAAATTTTTGTGGTTGGGCCTTTCGTTGTATTCGATCGCTCTCCATGAATTAGTTAACCCGCGCTCCCTTGAAGGTCAATCCTTTAAAGGTAACGCCTACGACCTTTACTCAATCAAATTTATCTGTTTTGGGCGGTCGATAAACGAATATTGTTAGGACAGCTTTTGCAAGGTCAAATCTTCTTGATATTCGAGTTCGCTTCGCGACACAGTTGTGTGGCGAAAAGATAGCTATTTAAATAAATATTTATTTACTTAGTTCTATTGGTAGTTAACGGCAATGCAGCATCTCATAGGCATTCAATTTCAATCAAGCGCCTCCAGGAGATTTTATTCAACTGCCGTTTCCTCAGCAGTGGGTCTAAATAAGACTCTTGTTGAAAGTACTAATCCCTCTCTGCTGCCAAGTTGACCATACGTATTTCAAATTTGCATTTTTATAACTGATTATGTCACTATACTAATTATGCAAATACTCGATAGGGTTTTGCATGTACTAATCAATGAGACGGGGTTCTGTTCTCCATAAAAAGCAACGGTGCACGGATACTTTGAATAAAAGAAGGATGACAATCCGAAAGACACGGATCCGACGAGAAAGGATTGCTATGACAGGCATTAATGTTATCCTTCTAGCAGTGCTAGCTACAACGGCTAAATCTCTAGTCGCCTCTATATATTTCCATATCGCTAACGCTACCTCGTACCATTTATTCCACAAAACGATATATTCCTCTTTGTTTATGCGTTTTTACTAATAGAAAACAAAGCAGCCAGACCAATTTAACTCATGCTCAAGATCTAGCGTTCTATATGTTCGCTCTAATTGTAGCGGACGCAGCGAACCCATTTTAGGAATTTCGCTTTGTATCAAAGACGCTGGCAAGTGAAATGTTCTACAGTGGGTTTCGTACCTGGGTCCCTATCAGGCATTACAGCATTGGGCTCCTGCTCGCAGAACAATGTATAATCACAATTGCCGGTGTGTATATTAAACGATAATCCAACTGGACAGAGCTTATGGTAGGCGACGCCATTGACGCATTGGTAGAACCAATGGCAGTTACTGGGGTCACGGAATAAACCGTTCGGGACGGTGCATTTAAAGATGGGAACGAGGACCTCTGAAAGAAGAAGTAATTCCACA